CTCCTGACCTCAGGTGATCCACCTGCCTCGGCTTCCCAAAGTGCTGGGATTACAGGCATGAGCCACAGCGCCCGGCAGCTTCCCCATCTACTTCCTAAGGGATCAAGGCTCCCTGATATATTTTCTCACCCCCACCCCAGCCTCATCCCCAGTACCTGAATTCAACCAGGTCCAGCTGAGAGTTTCTTGGAGGTCTCTGTTTTACCAGTACGTAGATGCCTGGCTTTTTGTTTTGCTACCACTGGTTTTTCTGAGATCTTCATTGCCCTCCCCCACTCCCCACCATATCCAAGGGATGGGACATCTGCCCTGGTTTTCCAGACCCTGTGTCCTCTAGATCTAATCCAAATACCGAATGCCAAGCCCCACTTAGGATCCTGCTCCAAATGGATCCATCTCCTGAAACCACAATGCTGCTTCTCACCTTGCTGTGAAAAAAAAAAAAAAAAAAAAAAATCACAAGGAGTGAACCACAGACTACATAGGGAATGTACAATCCTTCCCTCTCCTCTGGGATATTATGTTTCCAGTCCCTAAACCACAGCAGGAAGTTGCCTGTGGATACCAAGAGAGATCATTCAGCTAAGATCTGAACAGTCAGGAAAACTCCAGAGGCTAGGGTTTTGTCCGGTTCTTTTCTCTTCCTTACAAGCCATAGTACGATATTGAGAAACTATGGTCTGCTAGTCAAATTCAAATTCAGCCTACTGCTTGTTTTTGTAAATAAAGTTTTATTGGCACACAGCCACACTCATTCATTACCTATTGTCTACAGCTGCTTTCAAGCTACAATGCCTAAGCTGAGTTGTTGGGACAGATTGTATGGGCCACAAAGCTCCAAATATTTACTCTCGGGCCATTTGCTGAAAAAAATTTGCTGACCCCTGGAGAAGAGCAGACAACACTTAGCATCTGTGGGCCAGACGCAGTGGCTCATGCCTGCAATCCCAACAGTTTGAGAAGTGAAGTTTGGAGGACTGCTTGACCCCAGGAGTTCATGGCCAGCCTGGGCAACATAGCCAGATCCTATCTCTTTTTAAAAAATTAAAAATTAGCCAGGCATAGTGGCCCGTGCCTGTAGTCCTAGCTACTCAAGAGGCTAAAGCAAGAGGATCGCTTGAACCCGGAAGTTTGAGGCTGCAATGAGCTATGATCACACCACTGCACTCCAACTTGGATAACAGCATAAAACCCTGTCTAAAAGAAAAGAAAACAGCACCTTAGCACCTGATGACTATAATATAGTTGTCAACTGTGGTTGATAAAAAGCAGAAACCTAACTCACACAAAATTAAGAATAAAATGCTACAGTGTGAGAATGTCTTACTATCAATTTTTCTCTTGTCTGCGTCACTTATAAGTTTATACCATTGTGATTGTCAAATTAATAATAATATTAGTTTTTAAAAATGTTTGACTTGAAATGTGATCTTAACCTCCACTTGGGCCTCTCGGGGTCTCTCTCTTCTTCCCCACCCTGGGCTCCCTCTTTTCTAGGCTTTCCTGGATCTAGGCTTTCTTTTGGACTTACCTCTTGGGTTTCCTGCTCAGAAAATGTCCCTTCTAGTGTCCCCAGTCTCTACAGGGTGAGGGGTGAGGATGGGTCTTTCCCACTCGGTTCTCCCAACCTCCAGACACTTCGATATGACGAGATGTGTCGGCTACCTCTTGGAGCCTCTTACATCCCTAAAACTAAAGCAAGCTACAGTGAGCAAACTGAAAATGCTTTCTATACATTTTATGTCAATGCTGTGCTAGCCAGAGGAGTGAGTGAGGGGAGAGAGAGATGGGATGGAAACCACGTACATCACACACACTCAGACACACACAGGCACACATAACCTCGAAAACCTCTTGTATGCAATTGACATATCCACAACCCCAGACAGACAGTCACACGCAAACTCTTCAGACATACAACCACACACACACCCACACACACCTTCAGAAATGCAGCTCC